TCAGGTAGCTTTTAATTTGTTTGTTTGAGGCTGCGACCATTTTATTATGAAAACATTAATCACGGAATTAGGTTCGGTAGTTTAAGCCGTCGGCCTCACAAGACGTGTCTTGAAATTGTTTGGTGAAACGAAATCAACTTTGTCCATGTGTGTTCAACTACCCGCTTAGTCTTCCAGATGCAGATGCTCAGCTTTCAACCATTCATCTGGTGACAAAATGTGGGGACAGTTTCAATCCTCTTAAGTGGTTAAAGGATGTTGTTTTGTCATGTAAGCCAACAGTTGTGTTAACTTATTTATCTGTACCACAAGTACATATTTTACGATATGCAAATAGTCAGACAAGAAATAAAATTCATTTAATAAAACAGTGTTAATTCAGCCATACATCTTAAAAAAAGATGTTTGGTCCTGTGTACTTTTATGCACCATAGTAAACATAGTAAAATATAATAAATAGTAAATTACAATATATAATATTGTGATTTACTATTGATTACTTGCTTTTCAAATTCTTAGTTACAAAATGTAAAATAAAAACTCACGTATTATTTTTGTTGATACAATTTAACAATAGCTATTTATGTATCAATGCAGACAATTATTGTTTTTAGTACGAATGTGGATTATATTTCCTATTGATGCAGTTACATAATATACATGTTTTGTTTAAACTTTAATGACTAGTGCACATTAGATTCTGTGTGTTTCATTTCAACACAATCGGCGAACGAATTGTAATATATAGTGTGATTTTTAATTATACTACTACTGTCTTAGGCGTTCCAGAAAATTAAGCAAAATGTATGCATTCATGACCTCCAGAAAAAAACACAAAAATGAATTAAATAAATAATAGAAAAATATACCCTGAGGTACGAAATTGCTTGTGGTTTTAATGTACTTTAATTTTTTAGAATTTTATTGCAGAATTCTTCAAAGAAATGATACAAGAAACGATTTATTCATCAATCAATTTATCAGTATTCTATCTAGCTTATTCTAATTTTCTTTAAATTTTGGAAACACAAGATATCTAAATATAAAACTAATATATTTATGAACCGATTTATTTTATCGAAATTCATAATGTTATGATTTTGTATTATTTATATTACATATGTTTCATATCAAAAATTTTTGACATCATTTTAAAATAATCTATATCCTACCACTGATGTCTATTTGTTGTGCTTCAAAGGTGAATTGTGTTCTATATAATTAACGTATTTGTTGAAATTGAAATAAATTTCTTAAGAGTAGTAACAGTTTATTTTACAAACATGTATAGAATATTGTGACATTACAAACTACAAAAATTGGTCCAAAGACAGCATATTTTATAACATTTAAATCGTATTTACGATAAAAAAAAAATTAAGGGGCGTCATCACATTGTTGGTGGGGATAAGTAGACAGATTTTGGTAAGCGTTTTAGAAAAAAAGATGAAGGAGTCATAAAAATGAAGGAAAATAAAAACTTTATCTACATCACGATATTCATAACATACTTGTAAAATTTAACTACAATTGATCCAGTAGTTGCGAATTTATCTGTCTAATAAAAGTCAGCATACGGCAGACAGACAGATAGACGAAAAGAGAGGATCTATTGTTTCGTATTCTAGGGCTCATAAAACGTTCAGAAACATGCAACTAGTCATTCGTCGGATGGACCATATACTATTAAAGTACTTTCTTAGCTTACGCTCGGGAAGAATAAAGACCAACTAATTACAAACTAACACAATGCAGTATAGTGAAACTTAATTGGATAAGAATTCTTGGAGCGTATAAGTCGGCAAGTCAGTGAAATACCTGTAAACTTATTTTTTATACTTACCCCTTGGGCCTCTTTATATTTTGTATTCTGACTGGCAATTTATTGTGGAACTTCAAACCTAGATAAAGCCATGACTTTTTATTTCACCTGTGGTGGTGAATCGGATAAATATTTATAACATTTTGTATTTTCTAAAAACCGTTCCCATTATTGTTAAAATATTTATATTTTACATAATTCCCTACAACTTTATTTATACGCTAATTGGTAAGTAACTAATCTATATCATATATTTTTTTGCACTTTAAAAAAATTGTGTGTAATAATATGTAAGATATCTATCTAATTGTATACTCAGATGCCTTGACCCCAAAAAATTATATCAAATCAAATTCTTGAGTGTGTATTAGCAAAATAAATACTTTGTAAAACTTGCACAAATACATTTTTAAAATTCTTATGCTATAATGTATTTTGTGGATTTTTTTACATATATTTGTAGTTACACCTGAATATTGTCTATAATTTTTAATGTCATTTGTTTATCACACGAGCAGAACATCGCATCATTGTTCGAATAATACAAAACTTGTGTCAAGGAATGATTGAGAAAATGTATGTGACTTGTACAAAACTAACTGGTGTTCAATTGAAAAAGTCATCAAGTTGGCGCTGCTAGTTTCATAGAAGAAAACGTAGCGAAAAACGCATGACTTTTATTAATTCATACTGTTGTAATTTTAGGTTAATTGCAGAAATACTTCACAATGTTTATAAAAAATCAAGGCCAACTTCCTGAATTTTTCAATTGAACATCCGATATCTATTTAACATGACTCATTTATCTTGTAGATAAACATTTTTTGAGTATCTAGTGCTTCTGTTCCACGAAACAATAACCACTAGTGCAAATAAATAATGTGTAATATATTCAAGAATAATAATATAATGCATACATATAATGATCATCTACCAAGAAAAGAGAGTCAATTGTCTTGTTAAGGGGACGTGAATATCCACTATAGTTAGTCTGGCGAGTTTCTGCTCACTATTTCTACTTCGATTGATACTTACAACGAAATGTGCTTTTTATCCAAAGACGACTATTAAACTAATTAAAAAACTAGAAAGGAAAAAAACAATTAAGTGCATTTTCCTTAACGACACTTTACATCAATGTTTTTGTGATTATTCCTTTTACATTAAATTTATTACAGTTTACAGAAGTATACACTGTGTTAAAATTGTATTCATTTAGCAACACTTCGATAAATGTTGGAGATACTAATATGCGATAAAACCACTTTCGTCATATGTTTAGTATATTGCAGAGGGCGCGCCAAAATATTATGGTGATAATTATACACGTCTTATTCATAAGCTGACATTTAATTAACTCTAACCATTATTATAACTAACTGTTCACAAATTCCACAATAATTCTAATGTATAGCAGCTCGTATGGAGAATATTGCTATAATACTAATTGTGAGATCACACTGTTGTGTGCTGTGCAAAATATTGTGAACTTTTACGGCATGCTTACATCTTTGCTCTCTACTTAAAAGTAGAATGCCCAGTACATGTAAAAATCTTGCTATAGTTTTCTCCAAGTATAAAAAATGGAAGCACAGGGTTAAGAAAAATTGACTACGCACAATCTGTATATTTCCTAAGAGATAGAGGAGAGAATATGTTCGAATTTAGCTGAGAAAACAAAATCATTACCAAAAGAAAAAAGAAATTATGAAAACAAATCATTATGGCTGCAAATCTTTCTAAAGTCAATGGTAAAAATTGTACAAAGCGTAACTATAAATTGTCGGTAATTGAAAGCAAGTATCGCGTAACACTTATTAGTGTATACAAAAGCACTGAGGAGACTGGATTTGAGGACGAAATTTTACGATTTAGTTTGGTGTTTTCAATATTTATAATTGGTCAAAAATGTATCTTAACTTGTTCCGACAAAACTCCTCTTGCCTCTGAAGCACAACCAAGTAAGTTCAATAGATAAATTATACAAAGTGGTTAGACAAAGATAATTTTTTTATGATAACACCTACATATTAAAATAAATAAAATAGTACTGTGTTCCTCGAATTTTGGGAAAATTATATAATATTAATGAAATTAAATAATTATTGATTCTTTTTTTTTTAGATACCGAATAAACATTCTAAAGAGTCAAAATACATTACTGAAGCGCAAATTAATAGCGTTCTATCTCGAAGTTCATTTAACAAATATTTATTTAACAATTTTTGCAGTGAAGTATTAACTGAATGATGGGACTTAATCATAATTCAAGGAGTAGATCATATTAAAAATTTCAAGTCAATATACGTACATACGTTAAAAATAGGTTTATAAATCACCGGTTCAAAAGTTAATAAAAATAGCAGCAGGTTTAATCAGTACAGAATATGTATATTCAATAGTTGTCTATATTTGAGTACGTCAGATATAAATGTCGGATGTTGGTAATGACCGATGATTTCCATTTTGTTGTAAACATTTCGCACTTAATAACTAGGCTAACCACTGGGTGGAAACAGCCACTTCCCGGACAAGAGCCCCATTGGACGCTGGATTACACCTACTATTCCTGGTGTCACCCCTTTATTTTAGGGAAAACCTGCGTTTGTACTGCTCTCATTGGCATAGACTGTACTGATGAGACTTACTGAGGTCGAAACTGCAGTCTATAATTTTCATTGAGTTGTCGAATCTTTAGGAATATGTGTTTTATTAAAAAAAGATATTTAAGTGAATTTTGACACAAAGGGCAGAAATGTATGAAATGACTTAGTCCCTTTTGTGACGTAGACTTTTGTAATGTTTAGTAAATTAAAAGCAAAATGATTCACAAAGCTCGATAAGGCCAGATCAACGTAAACATTCTGACATTTTGACACTCTGAAAATACGTTTCTTTATAAAGTGGGGACAATACATGCATACATGAGAATAAATAACAAGAGAAGGCAGTTTTCCATCAAACACGAGCAAAAATTCCATAGGTAAATGAACGTCGAAAGCTGCATTGTCACAAAAGCTGCTTACAGCTCCAAGCTCGCGTTAACAATAAAATAGACAATCAAACTCAGCAGGTCCGCTCACATAAAGCCTCTGTAACCTCAAAACAATAGTCAACGTTGACAAGATCTTCGGTGTGATCGGAGCTGTTGGCAACATTTTGAGGCAGCACAGAAAGGAAGCTGCTTCAGTCGGTCCTGGGGCCCTGTCGCGCGCAGAGGGACGGGCGGCGGTGGCGGCGGTATATCCTGGATCCCCGCCCGCTGTTCTCGCCTGTACAGTGATCAATAGACGTCTCTTCTGTGCTCTGCTCTCTCACCACGATCGCGGAACGCCACAGTACCAACTCTCATCTCATATTGGTTTGCTTCTGCTTCACTCGTCGCTGCTGTGAAGTTGTGGTGTTTCTTCCACATTTGGTCGATTTAACGCCGTCTTCCAATTAACGAGGTAAGTGCTTTTCTCATTTAACTAATTGTATTTTTTATTGCTTACTTGACTTGTACACGATGAAGGAAAAACATCATTAACTGCCACTGTTTTATATGCAGAATATAATAATCATACTGATGGAAGAAAGTGCGATTACTTCACGAATTGATACCCTGTTTATATATGTATTTTACTTGTTGTTCGCCATTTTCATAATGTTTTCTTTTTTCGTGTAACAGGATTATTTCAAGCCTTGTTACAGGACAGAAACTACTAAAAACATATAATTTTAAACTTTTATTGATAACGATACATTTTTCGGAAGAAGTAATAGGCGATTAATAAACACACATTGTTATCAAATTTACTTTAAAAAAGGGTTTCGCACCACCGATTAAATACCTTGTTTAAATGTTTATCGGAGTTTAATTAATTTTTGTGTATGTATGGAAGAATGAATATATAATCTATACGTAGTAATTTTTTTCAAATATTTATCAGTATTACTTTCTGAGATAGGGGAAAGACAGAGACTATCATCTGAAAAAATGACATTTATTGAACAACATTGAACAATAAAACAACTAAATTCTTTCGTATACATTAAAATGTCAGAAATTCATAGAATATCGTATTCAGTCTTATCTGAAAATATTCATCAGATATTAAATGTATTTTCGAATTACCATTGTTCGTTTCTCTTTATTAAATTAATGTAATATTTTGCTAAACGGAAAACAATTTAACAGAATTCTTTCTTATTTAATCTTTTTTCCAAATCTTTTTTATCAACTTGTTTTCTTCTTTGTGTGTTATAAAATATTTGAACTTTTAGATATCTAAACCAATTATTTATTAATCAACGACACCTTTATTTAAGTTCAAACTTTTGTTGTTTGACGAATTTTTCACAATTTATGAATAAAATTGCCTTGTTCGTTTTACAATTTTCACAGTATAAACCTGCCGATAAAGCAAAAATATGCTTAATCTTCAATAGTTATTAACCTTTAAAAGTTAACTTTTCGTCGACGTCAATGTAGTATCTGAATATTTCAGAAGGAAGATGTTCATCAACTAACATCTGGCCGATGCTTCTCGAAAACTATTAATTTAAGTTTATGTGAAAAGTGAACCTCGTTGACAGTTGTCACATGCTTTTGATTTTGGTGATGTTTCCCATGCATATTTTAATCACTTTACTTTCCGATATTTTAAACAGACAACCGCCAAAACTGCCAAATGGATTGCTTTGAAAGTTTAAGAGTACATTAAAATTATTTTGCAGATGGTAAAATTAATCAAAACTTGCCTGTTCATTCTCTTAAAAAAATCTCCGCCAAAAACTCACGGAAGTCATCCCAGCTGACTTTAAAATAGTAATATTTTTGTTTAACAAAATTGCATACACAGAATGTGTATATAATCTGTAACCTCTCAAAGCGCGACATGCAATATGTTTTTTTTTAATTTTGGAAAAAAAATTAATAAGTATCTTATTTTGCAGATATTTACATACAACAAAATTCGTATCTTAAACATAACAAAATGTGTTGAAATTCTTTTTTAAAGAAAATCACATAACACAGAAACTATATCATAAAAACTTCTCATTACAATGGCGTGTCTACTGAATTTGGAACCCAAAGCACCTTTTACAGATAGTCCACATAAGGATTAAACTGAATTATTTAAGGTGTCTTTTCTAACTAATAAAATTAATGTGAGTGTCCCTTTTTGTCAGAACTAAAAAGTCAATAGTAAATAAGTTTTAATTGTAAAAGTAATTTTATATAGTTATCCACAAGTTTATTTTCCGACACGTTTCATAAAGTGCATTTTTGACGTACATGATGTTATAAACTTGTAAATCCTTCTAAACTTTTAATAAATATGTAGCTTGATTTTGACGGCTCATAATTCTTGTTCCCATACTTGGCAGTCATTTAATATTTGCGCCTGCACTGGTGTTCCAGGTTACGCGATTTGATGAAAATGGATATATCCCAAATTAAATGGTAAATTTTAGTTGATTTTTTTGTGCTGTCAGCTTCATCCCAGCCGTTTTTTTATCAAACACATTGGTTCAACGAAAGGTCAGAGGTCTTAACCAAAATCCCTATGCTATTTAACAAGACCCGGCAGTTGTAATCAGTTCCTGAAATTTACTCAACAGTGTTAATATTATTACAGGCGTTAGATAACTCGGTTGTTCTCTTGTACTATGTAATATGTTTAATTTTCAAGCCGTTACAAAGAGAGATAATTGTAGATATATAGTTAGTTCAGCATATTTGTTATATAATTTGGTCTGCAGGGAAATAAAATTAATTTGTCGCATTTTTTAGAAAATTATTGACAACGTTTATACAGTTAGTAAAGTATTGACAATGAAACTTACAGTCTGTAGTGTTTTAATTTTTATGTTAATTAATTATTTTAGAAAGCGCGAAAACGAAGAATAAAAAATTAAATGTATTTGTTCATTTATTTACATGTAAAGTTTATAGGACCAAGGACGTTAAAATTTTGTTAAAATAATAAACTTAGTAATGACCTAGTGATTGATTCGATTACGACTTGATAAAGAAAGCTGTTTACTACAGTTTTAAATACTTTACGTCATCGTTATTTTTAAAAATATGCTTATTTAGGAATTTCTTAAATTGTTAACAATAACAAGAAAATATTTATAAAAGCTAGGTGCCACTGAGTATGACTTCTTCTTGACTTCGCTAAAAATAGAAAATAATTAAAGATTATTATGTACATTAACTTTTGTCTTTTCGAACTTCGTCCTACACGGATGTTTAGTTTGAAATGAATTTGTTTTAAAAAATTTGAACTTGAAACTTAAATTAAACGCAGATTTTAAATACGGTTAAGTTTTGTTTTCATTGCATTTAGTCGCTTTCGTCATCGATAAACACATTTCTATATTATTTTAAATAATAACAGTGCTATACAACAAGAATGGTATGAATCCATTTCTCATAAGCACACTCGTACACAACTTAGAACAAATAGAAAATTCCTTATTTCTAGATCCTGCCCCCAACATGAATTACTGAAAATAATAACAAAAATTTTGTGAAACACGTAATAAATAGATAAAATGAAATTATAAACTGAACACGGATTTATAAATCACAAGTGCAGGAGTATGCTATTTTATAAAATTTAAAATATTTCTTACATTTATTCGACCAATTTATTTTTACAAATATTCATCATTTGGGGAGGGGGGGGGGGGAAACGACAGATAAATAATCATTCAGTTTCTGATTGCTTTAAAACGTTAGCAAAATTCCAGAGCATTCAAGTGTAGGAGTATGAAATTTTATAAAATTTAAATAACATTTTGGTAGCAAAATTTTGTGAAGACGTCATCAATTTTTGGCGATGAGATGAACGAATAAATCTGATTTCAGAGCATTCGCTTTTGCATTTTCTAAGTTAAATTGTAACATGTTATACAATTCATAAGGTAAGTATGGAGTATGTTATTTTATAAAATTTAAGTTTGCGATACAAAATTTTGAGGTGACCTTATCAAATTCTTGATGGGGACAATCAGACAAATTTTGGTTACCATTTTACCATCTACAGCATATTTCTAAAAGGCAGATTATAAGGCAAGACAATAATCAGTCCAGTAGTTTCGGAGATTATCTGTCTAATAAAATTGACACAGACGAGAGATGATAGAGAGATGTAAATGGAAAACCTCTCTCTCTAGAGATCATAAAACGTCGAGAAAACATGTTCGTCGCCCTATTGCAGCTATCAAATATCACAGAACCAAAAATTTAGTGTAATTTTTAGTATTGTAATAGAGTCCATTGGGCGACTAGCTACTTTTATGTTTTCTCAACGTTTCTTGACCCCTAGTGAACTAAAAAGGACATTTCCGTTTCCGTTTATCTGTCGTCTGCCTTCTTCACTGATTTTTGTTAGACAGATAATCTCATAAACTACTGGACCAATTGTCGACTTTTGTATATATTTTAGGAATATCGTGTAGATGGTAAAACATTAAACAAAATTTGTCTAATTATGCCCACCAAAAATTTGATGATCAGTCAATCAAGAAGATCCTATTTTCCAGAAAATTTGAAAATGCAGTACTAGTGCACCCATTCAAATTAATGTAAGTGTCCTTGTTAAAATGTTGATCAGGTCAAAACAAAAATTTGTAATGGAAAATTCACTTGTTTTTAGTTTAATTGCAAAATGCTAAAGAAAAACGGCTCATCCTATTTTCCAAAAATTTTGAAAGTACAGTACTGTTACTGAACTGATATACGTATTTTTACTAAAATATTGATGACGTCATCACAAAATTTTGCAGTGGAAAAACTCACTTGAAACATGTGCATAGCATGCTTCTTCACTTTTACTTTAAGTCTACACACATCTTTATTTTATTTTATAGGGGTTATCGTAAAAACATCAGATTCGCAAAATCAAATTTTATAATTTTTCGATAAAGCTGGATATATTGTACCCTGCTCCAGGCGGGAGGGAATCTGTCTAAATAAACTTAGACCAACCCAAAACAAATCATACGTTATTTATAGTAGTGGAACTGGTTGTATTTCAAGAACTGTCAAGAAAGATTTTTAGCACTATTCTGTTCAGTAAAATATTTAGTAAAACCTAGTTGTTAGGGCAAGTTAATTTTCGACTGTTTATCGTATTTTGATTTTACAAATTAGGCACTTATTAGTAGTGCAAATGAGTGTATGAGATGAGGCCTGAAAAGTTTTGAAGTTATGATTTAATTTACGAAACTATGAGTAGGTATATTACGTGAACGGTTGCTGTATTAGGCGCAATTAAAACAAAAAGCACCTTATTAAGAATAATATTTTTTGCTTTATGATAATACATGGTCGAGGGCTTTCGCTACTTTCATTATTATACGTAGTTTTCACTGCAGTTAAACATCAGTTGGAAATTAGAATACCCATTCTAGGTATAATTAATTGCGGATTAAAAGATATCTGTATTATACTTGGTATATTTAGTACTTCATATTTTGGTACGGATAATTTGGCTTTGTAATGAGAAATTATGTTGAAACCGCCATAATTTAAAATGGAAATGGATTTCGCGGAGCGCCAGCATCGTTGAAGTTATAAACACGAAAATATTGTTCTCTAGAATGTACACTAATTTTCACATTCATATGTGCCTAACGAATATAGTGCGCAATTTTGTATACAGACTGTAACAAAAATAAAGGTAGTTATATAAAAGATATACCAATTCATAAACAAAATTAATATTGTGAAGAAACATATTTCTAATTGTGATAGTTTGACTTAATGCGCAAGTAATTTTTTTTCTTCTTATGTCTTTTATGTCATATTATGTATCATGGCATTTCGTTATAATTTTCGGTAGAGTATAATAAAATTGTTACACATTCTCATAACATACCTGAATAAAATTGGCAGTAAAATGCAAAAAATAAAAGAAAGTTGTTTTTTGTGAAATACCCTAAAGTAATGATATGTTCTGTATGGAATATCCCATACACAGTAATGTCATAACATGCAGCAAAAGCTTATCCTTTTTTTTAAGAATTCAGTATTATTTCCAACAAACTGGGAAGATCAATCGCAGTAAACATAACATTTTTATACTTAAATTGAGATGGAAGGCATATCTTTGCAAAGTCGATCGTAATTAAATCTTACTTGAAACATATGCATAGTATGCTTCTTTACAGTCGACACATAGGTATCTTTATTTTAACTTACAATCAATTTTTTCAATTTCTCTTAGGAAATATTTTTTTATTGTACTTCAGCGGCGAGAAAAGTTCTGTCTAAATAACCTTGGACCAATTGTTCAGTGTAATTGTGAATACAAAACCTTAATTTCAACATTTATTGATAATGTAAACATTTTATTAATTAAGTAAACATTTGTGTGTCCTCATTGCAGTATAATGTAACCACGTTATCTATACCTACCGATGTTCATTGACCCGCGCCTTCATAAATTTTCAAATTTTTAAATTGCGTCAAAACGCGCTTCATCCACTGGTCTTTTTTGTTCAGCAAGTACTTATTCCTTTTTAACATTTCTCACCCTCTTAAGACTGTGTTTGATAATTGCTTTCAAAAGATTAGTAGACGAATATTCAAAAACAAAAACCATCTGCACTTTCGGTTAAGAGGGAGTGTTGCGATAAATTTTATGGCAACAGAATATACACTTTTATTAGCGTTATATTTTTTTTCACAGAAATACTAATTTTAACTTAGTTGAGTTGAAAAACTTGCATTCAGTATACGTAAATATAAATACTATCTTAAAAAATTATTATCAGTTCAACACAATTATTTGCGAATTTACTGTCATTTCATGCAATAAGGTATTTCCGTTTTTTTAACAGTTGGTGAATATGTAATTTAATAAAAAGTGATGGATTTTCATAATGTAACGCATTTTCATAAAATAATGCTAGGATAATTTTTATAAGAATTTAGACAGGTTCGTTAAGATTTGTAGATCTTTTACGAAGTTAGTAGCAGTTTCCAAGGCAAGTCCGCTAAGTAGAAAACGCTGTTACATTAATAAACCACACACAGTACAGCAACATTTTTCAGGAGTTTTTTTATTTAATATCTTCAGTCGCACAAACACTAACCGTTAAAATTTGGTTCACCTTTCTGACAAACTTTGCAGGACCGCTGTTTCGTATTATTTAATGGTAAGGCTTTACAATAATGTCAGATTAAATCGTCTTAATGTTGTGAAAACAAAAAAAAAAAAAACGCTCAAATAGTTACTATACTTAAATTCCATATATTACTTACATGTTCTTGTTACATGCGTTTTAAAAATTGAAATAAATTTAATGTACATTTAAAATTTGGTTACGTGATGTGAGAAATATCTTTAAAAAAACATGTCGCACTGAGTAAAACAATATTTATTACCTTACGTACCTGAACTCTTCTAAGTACTTCTGAAATATCCCGCATTTGCAAATGAACTGCTTTACATGCTGTTCCAGTCCTATTTCACTGAAATAAATTAGGGCGTTCGTAGATATGGTCGTAATTGGGTAGCAGCTGAGTTATTGATAAAGCAAAAAATGAACTCGGTACTAATTTATACGAATATACCGGGCCGTTCAGGTGAATATATTTCACTTATATTCATTTTGATTAATGACAGAGGAAATTGCTGCACTTGGATCTAATGACAACTTTAAATTTACTGCCAAACGCAGGAACCAAAATAAAAGAGATTTTAATCTACCTAATGAAGTAAAGCACTTATGATTCATTCCCAGCGCATTAATTCCATTTCGAAATTTAATCAATTACCTAAGAGGTTCATTAAATGTCTGTGCGGTCATGAGAAAAACTACAAAGTTGATTTTCAAACGTGCAATTTCAAAGCGTTAATTATTGTGTTTGTAATTTATTTTTTCATTTTCCAGATGAAGTGGTTAGCATTATGCGTACTAGCCGTTGTTTTGATAACTCTCGCAGTGGCAGACGGAGAGATATGGGAGGAAGACGACCATGAAGTGCTTATCAGAAGTGAACGAGGAGCCAAGAATCGTGGTAAGCTTAGATTACTGAGAATATTTTTCTTTACGTTCTATATTTACAAATCTTATCATCAATAATGTGCTCTAAAGGTATCTAAACTAAATTAACATCGATCGGAACAAGTACAAATTGGTGACTAATTCGTTAAGCAATTGCAGTGCCGTCGTTATGAGATTTATTATTCCGACTTTGCGTTGCAAGTGATAAATCGTCCGGAAGTCTATTTTTGGGTTGGTTATCAGTCATTACCATGACTTTAGAAAGCAAATGTATATTGCTTTATTTTACGTCGCGCTAATATGATACATAACAAAGACTGTAAACAAACTAATTACGAAATTGTTGTTCGATAGTGGACCCGGCGCATCCACCATTTGTTGAGCGAATTGTTTATCAAAAAATAAAAGTACATGAAATTCACCGTGATTTACGCAAATAATTTTACACTTGAATACCATGTATGTTGAATAAATCAATATAGATACGATACCATTATAAATTCTACTATTAAATTCAACCCTTCTGTCATAAAGTACTGGCACTATATTTCACCTGACTACGTTTGATATAATCCGTAAAATACATAGCTCCACAGTAAAGCCTGTACTGGTTAATCTTTCGCAATTAAATGTGAAATTTAGTGTGCGAATTTTTATTACAAAATAAGAAGCATGATTTATTCTTTCAAAACACTTTTATGATGTTAAAATTACTTTAAAAAGGACATTAACAATTAGATATGTTACTCAAAAAAAAATGTTTTTCTTTATTTATTAAGTAAATTATTTATTAAAATGACTGCAAAATATAGTTAAAAGTTATATCCATTACTAACTAAAACAAAAAATAAATGGTTAAAAGATTTGAAAAACGAGTTGACAGCATGTTTTTCACGTTGATTCAATTTTTTATTCCCTTCAAGTTTGTGTATTCTTTTTCTCGTTTTAAAACGCTCGCAGATGCCAAAAGTTTTTTGATTGATCGCGAGTTTTGCTAAAAAATGTCAGATCACGCTGTTTCATCATACATTCTGCGAGGAAGCAACATTTGATTCTAATGCTTAATGGGTTAATAACTATACGTTTTGAGTAGTAGCTGGGAGATAAATGTCGTAAAATTTAGCATTATTTCTCCCAATTGCTACCGTAAAATTAACAATAATTTGTATTAAGTGTTACTAACCTAAGTAGATGCAAAAGCATTTTCATTAATTTAAGAGTATTGTTTTAAAAATAAAGAACGTGAAGTCAGTACATTCGTTTCTGAGCTTTACTAGAATCTGACGAGAGGATCAATATTATTAAATCCATGACAATATTAACATGCGGACGCGGTAAAGTTATTCGTGCTTACACAGTGAGTTATTTTGTATTCTGGAAAATTAATACCCAGCTTGATTGAAAGACATATCTATATCTGTATGTTATATTAATTATCGAGTTTAACATCTTTAATTTACAGCTAAATGTTTAATGCCGTTATCCTGTTTCTCTTTTACACGTTGTTTATGTAGATGAACGTAAGTTTATAAACGTCAACATAAAATATCAGACAGATACTTGGTATTCGTGAAATTATTGGTAAAACAATTCCTTTGTAGTTGCGGTTACCAGCATATGAATATTTATCCTAAGTGTTTCAGTTCATCATCTGTATAAGCGCAAGGACAGACGTACCTAAAAATGTTAGATAATGTACATATAATTGTAGTGCTGTTTTAAATTCAACTACCCATTATAACTTTGGAATACTTGCAGGTACCGCTTTAAAAAATACTAGTTTACGTCGGAATAATATTAAGTGCATCATATTTACTTCCCCGTTCAAGTTAAAAACAATGGCGTCTACAGAATTTCAATGCTGTGAAGACATAAAGTCGTAGAATTTTATCTGGGACACTGTATATACAAGGCGAATTACTAAACGGGTGGCCTCCATATCTCATTAATTATAATTATTAGAGATTTTCGGGTATACAGAATGTTTTGTTTTTGAGGCATATAAACTATAGTCTACTTTTTAAATATCAGTGCGACGTTGCGTGTAAAATTTCATAAAAGAATGAGAATAATGTTTTGTTTAAAATCTGTATTGCAATATTTTATGGATGGATAAACCGAAGTATGGGATTTATTGTAGTAGCCATTAAATAAACTTTTAAAATAAAAAGTTTGTGAAAAAACCGTTACAGTTTTCAAATATCGATATTTCCGTTTTTTCAAATAGATTATCCTGTATTCTATTACTACATTTTACTCCATTTTTTATCTCTTTCTTTAAATATAGAGAAGAGTTAACAAAACAAAGAGAACAAAAAGCAGAATGAGTCGCATTAATAAAATACACTGTTCTAATAAAAAAAAAAAAACTGAAAAATCGATATTTCAAAACCGTAATAATTAAAAAAAAAGTTATGAATACTCTGTATATTAAGGCTCAATTTTATTTATACTGCAACAAAGCACTTACCTTTATTTATCTTTCTATCTTGTTAATTATTTATTTTAAAAAGATATTTCTTCAATTATTCAACAAAAATATGGGCATGTGTGAGACCGTATGGTCTCGGATAAGAAATAAGTATGTATATGTTCTTAGGCCAAATAACTTGAGATGACTCAGTTTTTGTGGTTGATAACGCTATAAATAAATACCCCGTGCAGAATGAATAAAAAAAGATACAATCATTTATATTACTTCTGTTTTAGTTTCAAAACAATGTTTACGTTTGACTTTCTAATTGTTCTAGTTTGAATGGCAAAAATTCTTAATTTCTGGTGACAATGGATCTTAAGTTTATTTATCGATGTGTAAGTTTATGTTATTTATTTATGTATAGGTTTATGTAATAAATACAGGAATACTATTTTCGGTCAAATATCGATTAAATTTTCTATTTCAGAAAAAAAAATGATAAGGTGAAAACTGTATCAGATAAAAGACTCCTTGTGCAATTTTAGTGAACTTTTAAGTTATTCAGTTAGTTAAAAATACTTACTGTGCACCCCAACTTCTATTTTAGGTAGTCATTGCAGACACGGCTGTGGATATGAGGGGCTTTTGTACCGCTATTAATTTTAGATTTAAAAGAAGTGGAAGTGTCTTGTGGTGAATTATAAACGACTCATTATCCTTCTTGAAACTGGTTACTTTAAAAGTTCTGCCAAGATAAAATATTGTTGTTAGGCTAGAGCTATAATAGCCGCACAGCCTGTAACTTGGTAAAATTTATGCATTCGTAACGATTTGTATTCGAAAAACTTAACTTTTTGCAAATGAATGATAATAATAGGAAATGAAAAAAGGAACAGTGAAATAAATCTCATTAAGAATTAGAAACGAACGACGTTGAATAGAAACGAAAGGAAAATTTCAAATATCAGTTTACAGATATATGTACATATTTCAACTATTTATATATATGTTCATTTGTTTTTGTCTACAATATTGTTTGACTAAATGTGAACGGTATCTAATGTCATTCCATGTGATGGAAAAAAGTTCTCGAGTAGCACATGCAATTTATTCTTAGAATAATATATATTTTTTAGAGATTCTTTAGAGATTCTTTTCCAACTTCATTGATGTATCATACTTCAATATTTTCAAAGATTAATAATTTAATATTTGCAATAAAATTTTGTCTTGAATTTATTTTCGTGTGGAAGAAATTAAAATTTTCAAATTTAAACATTCCTGTACATTAACAAAAGTTACAAAAATTGTCAAACTTGCTAACAAAAATTCGTAGGCGCAAATAATTGTGGTAATAAATTCATTACAGTCCTCTTGACACAAAAATTAAATTTTTGCCAGAACTTTTTAACAAAATCATCAAATTTGTATTTACGTCCTTGATTGTTGTTCTTTGATTTCTTCTATTTCATTCTTGTTTCCTTTTGGAATTTTTCAGTTAGGCGGGTGATTATGTCATCTTTTTGCTTGTCTATTTTTGCGTCCATTGTTTCCATTCTTGCATCCATGTTTTCGTTCACCTCTTCTATTATTGCATTCATTTTCTCATCTCCCATATTCATTTTTTCCTTCATTTCTTCTATTGTTGCTTACATTTTCTCATTTCTTGCATCCATTTTTACTTCGTGTTACTTCGGGTTACTTCGTAACAATAGTAATGTAACCCTCATGATAGGGTGACCATACAGCACAACAACAGCACTAGGATCGTATCTGTATCTTCTAATAAAATTCTCGTGTCACAGTGTTGGTGGGAGTTGGTGGTAGAAAGGTGAAAATTTATGGTTAAATGTATTAAATAAAAAATTGTGTTCAAAGAATAAACAAAAATGGGTACAAAAAATAGTTTATGACCTATTCTCAGACCTACCGAATATACACAAAAAATTTCATAAAAATCGGTCAAGCCGTTTTAGAGGAGTTTGGTTACAAACACTGTGACACGTAGTTCAACATTTTCCGAGATTCAACCCCAAAGGGGGTGAAAAGTGGTGGCAAACTATGGGTGGCTAAGTCTGTATAGGAACAATATTTCTACTGTATATTAAAATTTTTAAGTGAAACTTGGTATTAATGCCCTTCAACAAAAAAAAAAAAAAAATTAAACCCACATTTAAGCGTTTTCCCAGATTCACCCCAAAGGGGGTAAAATCTTAAAATATAATATATGTAAATGTAACATTTTCAACTATTTTTCAAGTATTTCCGAAAATTAGCGAGACAAGTGAGAAAAATGTTTCGTAATTTCCAAAAATTTTTTGTCTGAAATAGTTAGAAGACGATCTGACCCAAAGGAAAATAGTTGGCCTATAGACAATTTTTCGCAGAATACTCATCTAAAATATTTTTGACGATTTGTTTTCAAATAACTGAGAAATGCGAGGAAAGGACTCCAAAAATCCCCAAAATTTCCAAAAAATTTGAAACCGTTCCAAATGGCTTTATTTGAGAGGAAAACATTCAGTTTCTAGTTTTATAAAATATTAATCGCAGATTTATCTTATGAAATACTAGCCTCGCCCACCCACCAACCCTTT